TATTCTTGAATAAATTTGAAAATTGGAAATTATTTCCTAATAAAAAGTCTTTTAAAAGAGAAAACGGGAGAAGAGAAACAAAAAGAGTAAATTTTTAATTAGGAAAGAAAATCAGCTTTTCATTGCCCATCTGGCTGTTGTGCAGGCCCTGGCAGCGTGAGCCTGAGGGCCACCACTCTGATCTGGTCAGTACGTTGCTGCTCCTGGGAGGGAGGTGAAAACCTTCACCTGGGCTTGGAGACAGTCTGCCCCGTGCTGACTTCCACCTGCTACGATTCCTTCCTGTTACAACGGCGTCTTAGCGCCTCCAAAGTATGACGTTCCTGCCCACCTCAGGGCTGCTGCATTCACATCCCCTCTGCCTGGAGCTCTCCTCCCTCCACCCTCCACGCCCCACGACTGTTACCACCTGAATGCTTCCCCTCTGCAGATGGACACCAGATGCCTCTTCTTCAGAACAATGTCTGTTGAGCCCCAGGTAGGCCCAGTATTTGCCCTCATAGCACCTGTGACTTGTTCTTCATAACATTTACATGGTTTGCAAGTGTATATTTATTTGCAAGATTATTTGTAGTTGTCTTTTTGTTTTTAAAAATCCCATTCAAGTTGACTATTTGAATAGCATGTGGCTGGTTATCATACCAATACTGAATCTCTTGCAGCTATTGTAGATACAAAATGCTGGGCTGGGGTGTCAGATGTACAGTAAGATCCCAACCCCCTGTCTTTTAAGGAAAGGACTGGGACCAAGGTCCTCCCATAAGTAAAATCTAGAAAAGTAGAAACTGGCAATTTACTCTCACGATTTTATTAAAATTACATAATGGGCTGGGCACAGTGGCTCACACCTGTAATCCCAGCGCTTTGGGAAGCCAAGGTGGGAGGATTGCTTGAGGCCAGAAGCTTGAGAATAACCTAGACAACATAGCAAGACCTCACCTCTACAAAAAACAAAAATTGGGCAAGGTGTGGTGGCTCACGCCTGTAATCTCAGCACTTTGAGAGGGATAGGTGGGAGGATTGTTTGAGGTCAGAAGTTTGAGACTAGCCTGAGTAAGAGCGAGACCCTGTTGCTACAAAAAAATAGAAAAATCAGCCAGTCCCAGCTACTTGGGAGGCTGAGGTAGGAGGATCTCTTGAGCCCAGAAGTTCAAGGCTGCAGTGAGCTATGATGACGCCACTGCACTCCAGCCTGGGTGACAGAGCGAGACCCTGTCTGAAAGCAAACAAAATAGCGCATAATGATTTGACGTCTGGATAATGACTGGAGAGGAAACCCACCAGTGCTTCCTGCTTTCTCTTCATTAGTGAATTAGGGTTCACAGGCTGAAGAATCCTTTCAGAAACTCTTACAGGCATCTTCCAAAGCTTCTTTCGTACGACCTCGTAAACTTGGCATTTACAATACAACAGTCATCTCTAAGACGATGCCTCATGTGAGATTAAAAAATAAGAATGTCTGGTGATAGTTGTGTAATAATGAAAGGAACTTAAATACCCCTGAACTGCACACCTGAAAATGGTTAAGAGGGTAACTTTTGTCATGTGTATCTTGCCAGAATTAAAAATTTTAGAAAAATAAAAATGTCGGTGAAAGCACTTAATAAACTGTGAAGTGCGGTTCAAACACAAGGTCCTATGTGCTAGAGCGTGTTCGTCAAGACCACGACGTGATTATGTCGTGACCACGTGGGCCATCGTCTGGTTGGAATCTATGTCCATCGATAACCTCGAAGCTTCCTGGGGGCAGGGAGCACGTCGCAGGGCCGCCCTTCCTAACCCTGGCTCTTGGCATGATAACTATTTATTAACATTAAATAAACGCCTCCGTCCAGGCTACTCCTTCCCACTCTCACTTCTGGTAACTTTCCAGTAAGACCGAGGCTATTCCAGTTCATTGACCCACTAACACATTCATCGACTCTGTGGGCACTCCCAGAGGGTGTGGGCGCCTGGCGCTAGCTCAGGAGTTGAGGACAGGGTGTGTCTTCTGCCTTCGGGGGACCTGTGGTCAGGGAGGAAGCTGGCGTGAATGGAAGCTCTGCGCTGGGTGTGACAGGAGCTGCGATGCAGACACGAACTTAGCCTCAGAAGGCGACATCCGAGCTAGGTATCCAAGGAGGGACAGGAATTCCCCAGGGAGAGCACACTGAGGCAGAGGGAAGGGCAGGTGCAGAGGCAGAGATGCCAGAAAGGGCACAGTGGTTTCCAGACAGGTACGGACAAGGGGATGCAAAGGCTGGAGGGGATCAGGGGCGGATCAGGGTGGGCGGGGCTGACCTTCATCTCTCCGATGCTGGGAAGCCATTGAAGGCTGCAGAACAGGGGAGTGGCATGGTCAGATCTGAGTTTAGCAAGATCCTCCGAGGCCAGTGAGGCGGTGCATTGAGGGAGACAGGAGGTAGGGAGGTCAGTGAGGGGGCTGTATAGTGACCCTCAAAGGCGGGCAGGCCTAGCTCTCTCCCGACGACTCATGCCCTCTCTTTGCTCTCTCTCTTCAGCTGGGTGAGCCCCCCAGATGAAGACACCCCCTTCCCAAGGTCCGCCTGTGCTGCAGCGGCTCTGCCACCTCTGACCAGGCAGGACCCAGGCCACCCACCTCTGGCCACACTCACCTTCGGCTGAAGGCCAGATCCATGACTCTGCGCTGTTTGTGCCAACGCTCGTAGTTGCATTCGGACACCAAGCCCTGGCCGAACAGTCTGCAGGAGACAAACACTCCATGCTAGAAAGTGGGGGCGGAGGGGGCGACGGCTGACGGGGATGGGCTCGCTTTGGGGATGGTGAAACGGCTCTGGAGCCGATGGTGGTGGTAGTCGTGCTACACTATGAATGTACCGAATGCCACCGTGTTGTACTCTTCACAGGAGCAATATGGTGAATGTTATGTCAGTTTTATCACAATAAAACTAAAATAACAGGATAATCATGTTACCCAACCTACGTGACCCCATATTCCCACCTGCCATATGGAGGGAAAGGGAGAGGAGAAAAGTGCCAATGACAAGTGTGGGGCCACCACTTATGGGGTGCCTACTGCATGCCTGGCAGTCAGGGCCCCGGGCCTTGATGCTACACCCCCACTCTGGACTCCACGGGCCCTGGCTCACAGCAGGGCTCTCCTGGCCTCCCACCCAGGCCTCCCACCTCACCTCCTTACCTCTCACCAAACACCGTCTGGAGTGCGCGGTACATTTTGGAGTCCTTGTTGTACTTTGTTGACATCAGGAACTTCTAAACATCGCCCCCCACAAAAAAAAAAAAAAAATCAGCATAAGCTCGTGCGCCGTGAGAAGCTGCAAAGGCCTCTTCCGAGACATGCCCCAAATAATCACCACCAGCCGAGGCTGGCGATGGTGGGAGCACTTCACACACACAGTCACCCTCAGCCGTCTGTTCAAGGAATGTCAGCGTGTGGAGGGGAGGAAAGGGGGCACGGGGGGCAAAGCGACTTTCCCAGGCGCATCAAGTGGAGAGTGGTGCAGGGGCTGCCCACTGCAGGGCCCACGTTCAGGACCCCATCCCGGGCCACCTTCCAAAGTAGCAAGACAGGGGAAGGCACCCGTGGCTCTGAAGCCCGAGAGGGAAGAGAAGCCCAGAGGACCCAGCAGAGACACGCAGCACAGATGCGGTGTCGTTAGCACCAACCCAACCTCAGAGGGCAAGGAAGACTTCCCGGAGGAAGGGTCAACTTACTTCACCAAGAGCTGGATGATAACAACGGTAGCATTAGCCAACCGCCCTCCAGGCTGTGTTGCCAAGTGGCCACGTTTGGGCTGTGGGGGCAGCTGGCTTCAACCTGGACCCGGGCTCGGCATCCCCACTCCTCGCTTGCTAACTCTAGGACCCCGGATGAGTTACTCACCTCCTCTGCCCCCCAGTTTCTCATCCTACCAGATGGGGCTGAGAAGAGTTCCTGGCTGGTAGGTTTGCTGTGACGAGTAAACCTGCTCTACGTGGGAAGGGCTGAGAACGGCGCTGGCACGTGGCAGGCGCGCAATGAGTGCCAGGTGCACAGCCGCAGCCTGCGTGCGCCCACAGGTGCGGGTGCTATTTTTATGCCCATCTTACAAACGGATGAAGAAACTGAGATTTAAAGCTTGCCCGAGGTCACACGCAGGGTGAGGGGTGGGTACAGGATTTGAATCCAGGCAATTTGCTGTGGGGACAGAGGAGAGGGCGCTGGGACCCAGGGGAAGGAGCACGGGCCCCACCGTCTGCTCAGGCCGGCGTGCATGGAGCGGGTGGGCTGCAGGGCGGGGGCAGAGCCCTGCGCTCTGGGACGCTGCTTTTTCCCGTGGGCACTAGGAGGCTGGGAGGGGATTTCTCTACCATAAATCCACCAGGGTGCTGCCAGCTTCTCTTCGTTTAGCTCCCAGGGGTCTAGGATGGATTTTTCAGCTGACAAGAAACCCCGGAAGTGGCTGACTCTGCATTCTGAGCCATATTCCAGAGACCTCAACCCCACCCCAAACACTGTCATTTTAACCCAAGTTGTGTCACTACCCTGCTTCCACCAAGAGGAAACCTTGACAGCAAATGCCCACTTCCCAGGCCCCTCTCAAACGCCCCTGAGTCGTCTGAAGTCTAAGTGTCAGCCCTTCAACTAAAGAGCCCCTACCACTGAGGCAGAGCAGCCTTGGCACAGGCTCTGACCGGGTGTCCCCACGGCCAGGTCCCCCATGGCCGCTGTCCCAGAGGTGGGAGTCCCGTGACGGCCCAATGGGCTGAACTTCGATACCTACACTGACGGCACACTGCTAGGGACTTGCCCTCCTGCCATAAACAATGAGAAAACTGAGAGAAACGTATGAAACGTCTGTTTTCAGACACTGGACAACAGGCAGTGCAGGCTTGTGAACCTCAGGAGAAGGGGGGAAAAAACTGTGAGACCCACGAGTAGGGTCACCCAGCTTTCTACCTGGAGGTAATTCCAGGACAACGGCACTCACAGCAGAGGCCCGAATACAGTCCCGCTGCCTTGCCAAGTTGGACAGACAGAGACCAGCGTCTAGGTAGGCCAAGGGAGACTGGAAATCGTAGGACAGAGTACCCGAGAGGACCTATGCACAGAAAGAGCTCCTATGCAAACTCTGCATGGGGTCCTTCGATTCTTTGAATGAATACCAGTCTGTGCACACGTAGGGTGAAACTCCACAGACTGGGCAGAAACTACATCTGGGGAAATGAGAATTAGTGGGTAACTATAGGCTGGACAATTCTTAGAACTTACACAGGGCCAAGAATTATTCAAGTTCCCACTGGCCGGAACTGACGAACCTCAGATACAAGACCTTTAGCAGAGGCCCCAGAAGGATCACTCCTTAGTAGTGGGGCTAAACTAGTTCTGGAGCAAAAGTCTGCTGTAGACCCATTCTTATAAAAGCCTTAAAGCAAGTCTGGAGAGGATCAAACTGACCTGCAAGTAACTTCATCATCTGTCAGAATGAAGTAAAACACCTTTAAAGCAATAAAACAGAATCTAGCGCTCAACAATGTAAAACTCACAGTGTCCAGTATCCAACAGAAAAATCACTAGACAGGCCAAAAAGCCGAAAAATATGACCTATAAGTAGGCCCAGAAATAATAGACTCATACAATTAGCAGACAACAACTTTAAAACACCTATTACAAATATACAAATATATTCAAGGAACCCACACAGCCAAAAAATTCAAAGAATCCCAAATAGAAATAACATGAAGACGGCACACCAAGGCAGATCATAATCAAATTGCCGAGAACAGTGATAAAGAGAAAATATTATAAGGAGACAGAGATGAAGAGGTGTATTATTTGAAGATAGATTGCTGTAAGTGAAAGGTGATACTTA